TGGGAGTGTTCCAGGGCACAGGGAAGAGGAACTTGGGTAGAGGAAGGTCAAATCTGGAAGGTTTTAGGAACAAAGGATTGGGGAGGGGGCAGGTCACGTGTGCCCAACAGAGGGTCAACAGGTAGAGAACCCTGTAACTGGAGAAAATGGGAGAGAAACATGAGGGGAGCTGGGGCAGGCGAGCAGTCGGAGAAATGGTCACTCAAGCCCCCGAGGAGACGACCATGGTGACAGGGAAGCAAGAATATTCAAAGGCCTTAACCTAGTCTCCCTCCTAGGATTCCTGTGGCCATACAGGGGGCACATGGACTGGACTCCTGCCACCCCCAGGGCTGGCCTTGATGGAGCCTTCATGTATGAACACTTTTGACTGTTTGAGGTAGCATGTGGCATGTTTCAGAGGTTACAGACACACACGGCCCCGTGAACTGTGCCCATCAATACTACAGGGGAGATGAAGGCCCAAACATAACATACTTTATTGATTAAAGAGACACAGACTCTTTTTTTTTTTTTTCCGGTTTTTTGAGATAGGGTTTCTCTGTAGCTTTTTGGCCTGTCCTGGAACTAGCTCTTGTAGACCGGGCTGGCTCGAACTCACAGAGGTCCACTTGCCTCTGCCTCCCAAGTGCTGGGATTAAAGGCGTGCATCACCACCATTCTGTAAGAGACACAGACTCTTGTGCCCCTGGGCGTAGGGCCATAGCCTCAGGGGCACTATGGTAGTGGCTTTGGAGGTCATAGTCACCAGGCAGCGTCTTTAGCTCAGGGCTTCATGGTTAGGTCTCAGCATATGGTGTTCAGCAAGTGTTATGCGTTCTTTTTTTTAATGTTTCTTTCAATCGTATTTCCCAGAAGATGATGATTTCTTCCATCCAGTGATTTACTGTACTCATTTATTTGAAGATCGGAATCACAGAGGTTTACCCGCAGACTGGGTCACGGCATACGTAGGGGGAAAAATCACCCAAGTTGAGATTACCATGAGAAGAAAAATGAGCCCAAGAGGAACAGAGGGTGAACATGGGGTGAGAGGGCAGTCAGGGTGGGGATCTCTAAGGAGAGGTCCTTAGGGAGATTAAGGTCTCCAGAAGCTTTGGTCCCTAGGGCTCCCTGCAGGCAGGCACACTCTGCCCCCTTGTGGTGGTAGCCGGATGGCGTTGCTTGGACGGCTAATATCAAGTGTCCCTGGAACCTGACGGCTGGGCCAGCAGCAATTGTTACCACTGAGTCAGAACAAAGCAGTGTGACCTTGATCTCCTGAAGCAAGCTGGCATTGGAGGCTACTAGAGAGAGGAGAGCGAGATGATGGGTTCTGCTGAAGTCGTGTGCTCTCTCTCTCTCCCCTCTCCCCTTCTCTCTTTCTTTCCCCCTCCCTTTCTCCCTCTCTCTACCCTTCCCTCTCTTCCTTGGTCACTCTCTCCCTCTCTTGCTGTTTCCAGAGTCTCACTACGTCACTCTGGCTGGTATGGAATTCCCTATGTTGGTAAGGCTGCCTTGGACTTACAGCGATGGCCCGGCCTCTGCCTTCCAAGTGCTGAGTTTTAAAGACAAGGAACCACCACTTATAAAGGGCAGAGGCTGTAGAATCTGAAGGTCAAGGGAAGCGAGAAGCAAACCCCCGGGTTTTCAAGGGTTGTGCTTTCTGAGGTCATTCACAATTTATTTAGCAGCAGCTGAATTTCTAGACGCTGGGTGAGTGCATCTCTTGTTTCCTGTGGCTTCATTCTAATGTGTGGCTTCGCTCTGTGGGTTCCTTTTCTCTGAATTTTGTTGGGGTTGTGCCTGCAAATGCATGGCCACACACAGGATCAACCAGAGATGTGTCTAGTGTCCTGGAACAAAGCGTGGTATAGCTAGCTGTTTCCTCAGAACTGAAACTTTTCCCTCCTCGAGGGAGGTGGGAGGTTTATCAGATTCTGGAAGCTAAGCAGGAAGCTCAGGAAGCTGTAAGATTCTGGCGGGCAGTGGTGGCGCACTCCTTTAATCCTAGCACTCGGGAGGCAGAGGCAGGAAAATCTCTGTGAGTTTGAGGCCAGCCTGGTCTACAGAATGAGATCCAGGACTGGCTCCATAGCAACTGAGAAACCCTGTATCGAAAAACCAAAAAATAAAATATAAAATAAAATGAAAAAAAAAGATAACTGTAAGATTCAGGAGGCTTCTCTCCAAGTTGTAAAACGAGCAAAAAATTTCTATGGAAAGAGACTGTACTGGGCTGGAGAAAATGCTCAGACCTGAGTTCCCCAGTACCCACGTCAGGTGGCTCACAACTTCCTGTAACTCACCTCTGGCCTCGTGAGCACTTGCCCACACACAGACAAAACACATAAAATAATAAAAGTAAATCTAAAAAAAAAAAAACAGAAAAAGAGAGAGAGAACAAGAGAGAGAGAGAGAGTGTGTGTGTCTAGGAGATTCTAGCCTGGCGGTGGTGGTGTATTCCTTTAATCCCAGCACTCTGGAGGCAGAGGCAGGCGGACCTCTGTGAGTTGGAGGCCAGCCTGGTCTACAGAGTGAGTTCGGGACAGCCAGGGCTACACAGAGAAACCCTGCCTTGAGAAAGAGAGAAAGACAGACAGACAAAAAGATAGACAGACTATGGTGGTGCTAATTGCAAGTTGGGCAGGGACCCAGGGGCTGATAGAATCAAAGATAAGGTCAGGGAGAACACTTGAACGGGCCCTGTGAGTAGTAAGACCTGCAAACTGAGGCCAACCTGTCAGGAAATGGAACATTCTCATGGCTACCTTTTCCTGTGTGGTATAGGATGGTCTGCTTCTTTGTGGCGGTGGTTGCAGGCTTACGGAGAACAGTCAAGTAATAGAAATCTCAGCTCCGGCACAACATTCTAGCACCCACAGATCCCTTTACGTGTGTTGGAGGCAGCGGCAAAACGGGGGCCGTGTGCTCCGGATTTTGGTTTAACCATTTTCAAAGAAACCGGGGACCAATGGCTCACTGAGGTGCCATTAACATAGCATTTCTCATCCCGCCCACTATCCTAAACCTCTCCAGCCACTGAACTTCCCGTCCCCTAGTTTCTCTTTTCTTATAAGACCCAGTCTTTTGGCTTTGTGCTGTCTTGGCCTCTTGGGTCGTCTCTTGGCTCCATTCCTGGACCTCCTGCTCTTCCCTCCCTCTTCTCTTCCTCTCTCGCTCCCCCCTCCCCCGCCCTTGCCCCGCCACACCCGGTCCCATCTGCTCTCCTGGCCCAGTTCAGTCTAGACCCTTCCAGATGCCTCTGACTCTTCTCTCTCATATCCACAATAAAAACCTTCTCAACTACAGCTAGGGGCAGTCATGTCCCCATTTCCACTCAGCACCTTATTAGGAAAATAAAACGGTCTCAGACCACAATACCAAATCCCTAAATTTCATCCTCTCCTTAAGTGGTCTTAACTTATAGATATTTCTTTCATGTCTTAGCTTCTACCTTTGTTAAAATCCCTGGGCTGGAAAGATAGCTCAGTGGTTAAGAGGGTTTCCTTCTCTAGCAGGTGACTTGGTTTTGGTTCCCAGCATGTGTTTGGTGTTTCTCACAACCCAGGGCTACCAGCCCAGACGTAGCACCACCCACTGTGAGTCTCTCTCTCTCTCTCTCTCTCTCTCTCTCTCTCTCTCTCTCTCTCTCTCTCTCTCTCTCTTTCCAACAGAGAAAACACACCACAGCCTTGCCCATTGGCCGATCTTGTGGAGTCATTGTCTCAACTGAGGTTCTCTCTTCTAAAATAACTCTCGTTTGTAGCAAGTTGACATAAAACTAGCCAGCACATCCTTCTTGTGCACCTCAGCACTAATTCAGGAATGGAAAGCAGAATGTGGGCAATCAGATTCTCCTCCTCCTCCTTCTTCCTCTTCCTCCTCCTCCCCCGTTCTTCTTCTAAGACAGCCCTGGCTGTCCTGGAACTCACTCTGTAGACCAGACTGACCTGGAACTCAGAGGTCCACCTGCTCTGCCTCCCGAGTGCTGGGATTACAGGTGTGCGCCACCACTGCCCGGCCCAGATTGGCTTCTTATGTCTATCCTAACGTGTCAGTGAACTCAGCTGTGGGATTAGTCACGTGCCAGCAGCTCATGAGGTCTTCCAGGACCAGCTTGATCCTCTGCCCTCAGTCTTTCTCCAGAACTGCCAAGCCTGGCCCTGGGAGAGGGATGCGGAGTCTATGCCCATCCATGAGGGACAGTGCCAGCTGGGAGATGGTGCCCTGGAGAGGCACTGCGTCTGGCTCTCCTGGTTACTAATTCTCCTGGGTCCAATCACCTGCTTAACTCTCCCGTTTTGCTTTTACTTACTTAATGCTCTTGCGCAATTGTTGCAGATTGCGGATCCTTAAAGCCCCAGCTAGTGCTGTCTCGAGAATATCAGTTTTCACCATCAACACCAGTGCCTGTCTACGGCTCTCAAGGACTTCTCGATCTCCAAGAGGTGTCACTCTCCTGCCTCAACCTCTTTCGATAACTACTCCTCCCTCCAAAATGCTGCTCAAGCCTTTTATGACTTATGGTTCTATGACCCTGTATGGGTTAAGCAAAACCAGCCAGAGTACCCCCAAAGCCTCTCTCCACCGTGTAGCTGTCCGGAAGAACAGAGCTTCATCTCTGTCATTAATTTGACATTGCTGACCTGGGGAGAGACAGGTCTAGAAACCCAAAAGCAAAAAAATAAAAACAAAAGGCCCGAATCTAGCAGTTAGACACCGACTCTCGGAGTTTTCCGAGCAACTTGTGATGCTCCCAATGACCCCTGACCCTCGCCCCTAGTGACCTTGGTTGGTACAAAAGTTACTACTTAAGAGGCAGTGAGAAAGCTGGATTTGCTCTTGCAGAGGACCTGGCTCCAGGCATGCACGTTATGACATGCAGCCGCTTGTAATTCCAACTCCAGGGGATCAGACGCCCTCTTCTGGCTTCTGCAGGCAGGGCACTCACATACACAACTCCCACCCCACACCCCACACATATACACATAATTAAAAATAAAATCTTTAGCCAGTCATGGCGGTACACACTTTTAATACCAGTACTCAGCGGGCAGAGCAGGTGGATATCTGTGAGTTTGAGGTCAGCCTGTTCTACATAGTGAATTCCAGGCCAGCCAGGATTACTTACTCTGACCTTGTCTAAAATAAAACAGAATAAAAATCTACAACAAATAAAAAAATAAAAAGATAAATGGGGCGTGGTGGCACACGCCTTTAATCCCAGTACCTAAGAGGCAGAGCCAGGTATAGCTCTGTGAGTTCGAGGCCAGCCTGGTCTACAGAGTGAGTTCCAGGACAATCAGGGATACACAGAGAAACCCTCTCTCAAAAAACAAAACAAAACAAAACAAAAACAACAAGAATCATGGACTAGGCAGTAAGAGCACTTGTTTTTCTCGCAAAGGACTTGGTTTCAGTTCCTGGCACGTGCGTGGTGGTTCAAACCATTTGTAGCTCCGATTTCAGGGGATCCAGCACTCTCTTTTCACCTCCGCGAGCACCATGCCAAATTATCTTCTAGAAAGAGGAGGAGAGAGATTTCCACTTTTTACCCATCCAAATGAGTAAACACAAGCAGCACAAGATGAAACCAAACAATTTCTCTTAACTCTTATGAAAGGAACACTTCTTCCAGGGAGTGACTTTATAATAATTCACCCTTTTGGCTCTCTCTAGCTCTATCTATCCTACAGAATATATTATTAAAATTTTTATGTCCAGCTCTGGAGAGATGGCTCACTGGGTAAGGGTGCTTGCACCAAGTCTGATAACTGGAGTTTGCTTCTTCCACATGGTTGACAGAACTGGCTCCTAGAAGCTGTCATCTGACTTCCACATACACCCCCCCCAAGCAGAAAATAATAAACTGATTTAAAAACTTTAAAAATATTTATTTATTATATATACAGCATTCTGCCTGATTGTCCCCCTGCAGGCCAGAAGGGGGCACCCGATTTCATTATAGATGGTTGTGAGCCACCATGTGGGTGCTGGGAATTGAACTCAGGATATCTGGGAGATCAACCAGGGCTCTTAACCGCTGAACCATCTCTCCATCCCTTAAAAAGAACTTTTATGTCCATTTTGGATATACTCTTCATTCTTTGAGAAAAGAGATGGGTATCTAGCCGTGATCCCATAGGCACAGGCACATGGGGGAAGGGCCTGTTGGAGGAAGGCCAAAAGCCACGGAGAAGAGAAAGGAGATCACAGGACTAGAGAGGGGCGGGTCACGTGGTTATCAGGTCACGTGGTCACAGCATGAAGACAGTAGGTGTGGAGCCCTGTGGCTGGAGTGAGGGGTGAAGACACAGAAGGGAGCCAGGGTGACTACGCACGGCAGGACCAGCATTCTGTCTCAAGCAGAGAAAACCCGGACAGACAGAAGCCATGAGGGAGCAAAGAAAAGCCAAGGGCTCCTATCCAGTTTCCCTCCTAGGCGTCTCACGGCTGCTGAATGGGGGTGCCTGGGTTCCCAGTTCCTCTCCTCTGAACTACGGTTCAGAGCTGGCATCTGCTATGACTTCCTTTAAAGCAGTAGTACTCTGGACTGGTTTAGGTTTCGGGACCCCCAGATGCAGGGTCCCATGCCTGTGCCCAATGTGACCCAGGGCACCAGAGGAGCTGGTGGGCTGGCTTGGCTTGAATTGGCCCAAACCCAGCATCATAATGACATGGATCTTAATTTAGACTATTAGGTACACATCCCTGTGCACCTGGGTTCAGGGCCACCAACTCAAAGCTGCTATGGGCCTGCTCTGGGCCAGGCCAAGGACATCAGGGAATGTCCTCCGCCTCAGCCTTCATCTTTAGGACTCAGTGTATAGCACTAAACAAGTGTTATGTGTTTTTTAAAAAATATTTATTGTGTGTGTGTGTGTGTGCACGCGCACACGTGCACCCAAGGGCATGCTTGTGTACCATGTGCATGCAGGAGCCTGTGGAGGCCAGAGAAGGCATTGCATCCCCTGGAACTGGAGTTGCAGATGGGTGTGAGCTGCCACATGGGTGCTGGGAACCAAACTGAGGGCTTCTCTAAGAACAGAAAGTGCCCTTAACCCCTGACCCATCTCTCCAGCCCTGTTTTGTGGGTTTTAATGTTTCTCACTATCAAGTGCATTTCCTAGAAGGCCTACAGCTTTATATAATCATTGATTTACCATATTTCCTTAACATTTTGTATCATGAAGGCTTTTCTGAAGCATGAGTTATATAAATGATGAAATTATTCAAGTAGGCATTGCAATAAAGATAAATGGGCCCAGAGGAACAGTAGGCGAGGGTGGGGATAAGCAGGGAGGTTCGTGGGGGAATTTAGGGGCCTGGCTGTCCTCCCCAGGAGAGCAATGTCCACAAGCAGGTATTTTCCCCTTTATCAGCTCATGGTCCCTGAGGACTTCCTGCAGATAGGACACTCCACCCCCTTGTGGTAGGAGTATAGTAATGCGCCACTCTGAACCTCTAATCCTCTGTGAAGACCCTGGGACCTGACAGCAGGGTCCTGGGAACTTGCTGTTGTGTGAGTTAGCAGACAGATCTATGTGCCCAGAGCAAAGCTGGCTCAGCACCCGCACCCCTCAGCTGGCAATGGAGGCCATAGGGAAGTGGGGGGGGGCGTTCAGCAGAAGGGAAGGAACCCAGGCCCCTTTTTAAAAGGCAGAGGGGATGAATCCCGAGAGCCAAGGGCTATGCAGCTTGGAATTTCCCCAACTTGGAAAAGTTGAGGTGCAGAGTCAGGTACTAATGACCACAGGAAAGTCTGTTACTGTGAGTGCCAGAGAGAGGCCCGGACCCCTGCTTAGCAGGCCCTTCCCTAGTCAGCCAGTGTCGCTCTTTCTACAGAGGACATGGATGGGATCCTGTGTACAGAAAGGAGGGAGAAAGGGAGGGAGGGAGGGGGAAAGAGGGAGGGAGAGAGGGAGAGAGAGAGGGAAGGAGGGAGGGAGGTTTCTGAGAGCCTGGCTTGGGCCTGTGTGAGGCACAGAGGCACTGGCACAACTGTGTACATAAGCCACAGCTTACACAAATAAGCAGATAGACCACACACACTTGAGATACTCTGAAACACTTTGACGTCTCCCAAATCTCAACAGAGTTATGTTTTGAGTACAGGAGGGGCTCAGTCAACTTCTAAGGCATCCTGAATAAAAAAAAAAATCACAACTCTGTTCTCATTAAAAAATTTCCCTGGAGTCCTGGGAGGAACCTGAAGAGCACAGACCCCATTCTGTTCTCAGGGTGTTCCAGGGTCGAGGTGAGAGCCTGGAGACAGATTTCCTGTGAGCCTGTCCAAATATGTGAGGAGTGTTCAAATATAGATTGTCAGCCCTAGCCAGTAGAGGTCCTTGTAGTCTGCTGTCTGGAACTAATAAGGCCCCTTGAGTACCTTTTGCTGCAAGACATGGAAGACCTTGGGCAGCGTCCGGTGGGGGCCGTGGAGACCGCCAGGAAACCCATGACTCAGACCAGGCCCTGGCCCTTCATATCTGTGGTACTTCAGGGAACGGGAGCACTTGCAGCAGACACACACACTGACTACTATTATGCTGATAACGATGATGATGATGATGACAATGATGACAATGACCCAGTTGTTCCCTGAAGGTGGGGGCTCAGCGTTGACTTGCAAGCTCTCTGGCTCCTGGTCGGTGGTGTCTAGGTCTGGAGCAGGGAAGTGGATGAGAATTGGCTCACGTAATTCACCCCCTCCAGCCCTACTCAGTTCCCCCTTGTTCCCCTCCCACCCCTCAACACTCCCATCATGAACTCCTACATGGGTAGGAAGTGGTTGTGGAGGAGGCTAGCGGCTATGTGGCCTAAGGGGAAAAAGTGTGAAGGGTCTTGTGCCTTTGGAATTGGAGAATGTGAAGAGTTTCCCCGCCTTTAGAGCCTTCCTGGTCTTGGGGTTCGGCCAGAGACAAATGATCAGGTTTGGGGACTGCAGCCCTGGTGTACCTCCAGGTCAGAGAGAGGGAATTCTGATGTCATCCCCAATCTCCTATGGGCTCAGGGGACTATGGTGGATTGAACTGGTTTGAAGGACTAGAGGGAGCAGAGCCCGGAGGCACTAGGTAGGGAGGTAGGGGTGAGGAGGGCGGTAGGTTTAGACACATAGAGTCCTTGTTTGTGTGTGGAAGCAGATGAAATTCAGAGCTCAATTGCGAGGGGTTCCTCTCTGCTCCTTCCCTCCCCCTCCCCACCAACTCACTTCCTAGCCTAAAACTCACCAGTAACATTCAGGGTCAAAATTTCAACTTTTCTCTGGAGTCCATGCAGCTTCCACCGGTACTCCCCTGCGTGGATGTCCTGGACTTTCTTGATCACCAGTTGGGCATGACCTCCTTGAATATGGAGGTGCCATGAATCTTTAACGTAGCTTCCTGGAGGCTTTTGGTTAAAGATGGTCATCTTTCCATTGGCAGTCAGCTCAATGGTGACATCTCTAAAGGTGTTGGAGATGTTACAAGCCATCAGCACGTGGCTACCTCTGGGAGCAGACACTTGCAGTGGTTCCGTGCATACTGGGTTGTCCCACTCTGTGGAGAGAGCACAGTCTTTACTTTGCAGCCCAGGCATGGTCTTTGATACCTCTACCAATGCCCCTGCAGTGATCCCAGGACTATTGGTGCTTCAGGGTCAGCTATTCTCAGGGACACACGGCTCACCCTTCTATAGTAGCCCAGCTTCCACCATATTGGGACTACAAAGCCAAGGTCACTATCTGGTCCTGACGTTGGTCTGACCCTCCTACTATGTCTGGCCCTGAGGCCCTGCACTTGGGAGAAGTAAAACCCAGACTTACTTTGATTCTGGGCATTCAGAGAGGCAGCCAGGAGAAGGAGGGTCCAGAGAATTCTGGGAAATGAGCCAGTGGATGTTACAGGGTAGGCTGCCATGGCTCATTCATAGGATGGGCCTCAGGAGACAACTGTTCTGGTCAGTGGTTTTTGGACAGTACCTAGAGGAAGGAAAAAGAAGGGGTCAGAAGTCCCCAAAGCTGATGCAGAGGCTCATGAAAACAGCACCAGCCCCAGAAGGGCTATACAGCCCAGGGTCCTTGAGCTCCTCCTGTCTACTCCTCCCCAGATTCCTGAACCTGGGCAGGGGTCCCAGGCACCAGCGCTGTTCTTACATTTGGTAAAGAGTGCGGGACTGACCGAGGCAGAGCAATGGGCAGATAGATGAAGCCAGGAATGAGGCACATTGAGCTGGCTGTTTGGCACACTTCCTGCTTAGAGCTGCAAAGTTAACCAGGCAAACAGCTTGGGTTGTACTTTGTACAGAAACAGTTTTGTCATTGACTTGACCTGTGCACTGTCTACAGAGCACTAAGTGGCCTCTGTTCAGAGCCTAGTGCCTACGATTCTCACGTCCCGCCTGCCTATCCCTTCTTTCACTTGCTCACCCTCACTGAGCACCAGGTATAGGATGTGGTCCGTGTAGTCCAGCAATGGCTGCCTCATGCCACAGAGGCCAAGAATCTGGTACAGCCCACTAGGCGGCATGTTTCCTCTGTCCCAGTCTGGTGCTGAAGTCCTGAAGAAGGAGGTCCTAACACTGGTGTAGGAATTCTTCAGGGGAGATGCAGCCTCCAGTGAGGGTGAGGGCAAGCAGGCTGAGGTCCAAGCTTCTTTCTTCCATACCTCTTATCTGGGCTGCCATCAGAAGGTGCAGCCCACATTTAGGGCGGGTCTTCTGGCTTCAAATAATCTGATGAAGAAAATCCCACACAGAAGTTCCCAGAAGCTTGCCTTTTAGTTGATCGCTGATGTAGTCAAGTTGACAACCAAGATTAGCCACCACAGTAGCTCATGCCAGAATAGGGGAGACCTTGGCCGTCTTTCAATCAAGCAGCCTGCCCAGTGCCTTTTCTTGCTTTAACCCTGGACTCTGCCTACCTGCCCTCATATTAACTTTGTACTATACACTTCTTAAGCACAGGTGAGCTTTATATTTCTTCTGTTTACCATAGGACAGGCTGATTGCTGCTTTTAGTAGGTGGGCAAATCTCCTAGACCTCAAAGTCAACCCAACCGACCCTGTCTTATGGTAGAGGCAGCTCCAGATCCCTGGACAAGCAAGCTGCATCTCACACCGTCCTTCACAGTCTCAATGCTTAGTTTCCAGCGCGGGATAGAGACCCCTTGTACACATTCTCCTCACCAGTGCAGCCGCCGTGGGATGTGTAGATCCTGTTCTGAGGGTTCCTGGGATGCTGACTGGCAGTAAAGGAAGGAGAAAGTTCCACAGAACATTGACAGTTCCTGTTAGGGAACTTGCCCTCCAGAGAGCTTCCGAGACACAGCATGACCTGACTCCTACTTATAGTTTACTGCTTCCGTTGCAGAATATGTAACACCTTGTTCCCTGACTGCTTCGACCACCACAAACATGTACATGTGTATAGAAATACATGTATATACATACATGCATATACATGTACACAAATATTATGTTGGAAGAGGATGAGACAGCAGAGATGAATCTCTAATGACCCTGATGATATCATCTGTTTCCCATAGGCCTGGTATGTGTTATGTACACAGAAGTAGTCCAACAAATGCATCTGGACCTACTGAGGTGTAGGAGGGGTAAGGACCCTGCCCAAACTTCCCTGACAGACACAGAGGTCAGCTTTACCCTTTGTGACATCAGCCAGCAGCTCTTCAGAAAGGTTTGGTCAGTGCCCCATGGGAAGCCTGGTCCATATTCCTGAGCTGGAGCTAGGCTGGTCAAAGGTTTGGTCCACATATGGACCCAGGTGATATGGAAAGCTAGTAACCTCAGCCAAAAGTGTCGAATAGCTACTGAGTCACAACTGTAGGACAGGGACACCCATGGAAAGTGAAAGCCAGAAGCTGGACTCTTGCCTCGAGGCTATGGGAGCTTAGGTCCAACAGTCCTGGGAGGCTGTGCTCTTTAGCTTTGGAGACTCAGCTCTCTGGGGAGGCAGGAGGCTCTCAGCGGAGGCACCAGGTGTGATGGGAACTTTCAGTTTCCCTGTTGGCTCTTAGGAAGCCTCTGAGCTAGTCTACAATACCTCACACCCATGTGCTAACTACCCCACAGGCATTTCCTCACTGTTAGAGCCTACCTTGCTGTCACCCCCCCCTTCAGAATCAGACATCTATGAAGTCCCCTCCAGCATGTCACTGTGTATGAAATGCCACAAGACATTCATACCAGAAGGCATCTTGGCTCTGAGGATACCACCATCCTCATGGTGGCCTCCATAGGAAGCTGGAATCTTTGGTTCACAAGAATGGTGCCCGGGTTCCAGGCTTCTCCCATTGCCCAGAGCCAAGGGCATCCTCCAGCCTCAGGACCCTGATCATCCCAAACTTCTTTTCATGCCCACCATGAGGTCGTCACAGTAGGAGCCCCAGATGGCTCTGTAATCCAGTTTGGGGGTTCCATGGTCACACCTCTGTTTTACTCTCAGGTACCTCCGTTTGGGGTGGTGCTGTGGCTTTTGCTATGGTCCCTGTGGCGCTGGTTGGGCACCATAGACAGTCAGGTGACTAACGAAAACCACAGTGTAATGATAGACCTCACAGTAAACCAAGATCCCTCTGCAGAAGGACCGAAGGCCTAGGGGCCAACTTCTTGTTTCTGGCTTAGCTGAAGCTGGGCAGGCTGCCCTGGTCTTGAGAAGATCTTTGGTTTGCACTATGCTGAACACAGTGCCACGTGGTCTGAGGTTGGCCGTCAGAGAAAAGGGCAAGCCTAGATCTGCCCCTCAAGATACCTCTCAGTTCCCAAGTGAGACTCTTCCTATATGTTCCTGGAACTGGAAGCCGATCCTCTCTTTTTTTTCTGGGAGTCTCACTTTGCCTCTCCTAGGTACGCAGTTAGAAATGGACTCAAAATCAATGCTTTGGGATAATGCTCCTGTACACTGTAAAGTTTGTCACTCTTATTAGTTTTATAAATCGCTGATTGGCCAGTAGCCAGGCAGGAAATATAGGTGGGGTGACCAGAGTAAGAGAATTCTGGAATGAGGTAAGGCAGAGGGACAGCCATCTTCTGGACACAGAGGAAGTAAGAAGAGAATGCCTCACTGAGAAAAAGTACCAAGCCATGTAGCTAAACATTGATAAGAATTATGAGTTAACTGGAGTTGTAAGAGCTGGCTAATAATAAGCCTGAGCTAATAGGCCAAACAGTTTATAATTAATATAAGCCTCTGAGTTTCTTTGGGACTGAACGGCTGTGGGACCGGGTGGAACAGAAACTTCTGTCTACAGTCAAGAGGGTAGGAAAAACATTCCAGATATATTTTCAAATAAAAATGTTAAAATAATTGGCTGTGGCAGCACACACTTTTAATTCCAGTAACCCGGACAAAGAGGCAGGCAGAAGCACACAGAACTTTGTGAGTTCAAAGCCAGTTTCATGTACATAATAAGGTCGGGGCCAGCCAGGGTTATACAGGGAGACCCTGCCTTGAAAAAAAAATTAGAGACTGGAGAGATGGCACTGGCTGCTCTTCCAGAGGTCCTGAGTTCAATTCCCAGCACCCACATGGTAACTCACAATGTCTGAAACTCCAGCTCCAGGGGATTTGACACCCTCATACCAACACACATAAAATCAAGTAAGTTATTTTTTTTTTTAAAAATAAGCAATGAACATGCTTAAGGTCTGAGCATATATGAGCTAAAGTATTTCCTTATTCAATCTCCCTGACATTTTCTGGCACTCAAACAAACAAGGCTATTGCCTTCCACTTACAATCACGGTACCCTACCTCCTTGAACCTGTGGCTCGAGACTTCTTTTATCGATTACGAGCCTGGCTAGCATCCTCAGACACACCGTTGCATTGCCACTTGAGTGTTTAAAAAGATTTGTTTATTTATTTGCTTTTTGGTATATGAGTGTTTTTGCCAGCAGGTATGTGCACCACACACGTGCCTGGTGCCCTCAGAGGTCAGAAGAGGGCATCAGATCCCTGGACAGTTGTGAGCAGCCAAGTGGGTACTGGGAACTGAAGCGGGGTCCTCTGAAAAGGCAGCCAGTACTCTTAACTGCTGACCTATTGCTCCAGCCTCATCATTTAAATGTCTTAGTAACCCTTTGAAGGCAATAACTTCAAAACACACCAAAAAAAAATCCTATATATGATTTAAAAAAAATTTTTAAATTTATTTATTTTTTTTTTGAGACAGGGTTTCTCTGTGTAGCTTTGGAGCCTGTCCTGGAACTCGCTCTGTACACTGGGCTGGCCGTCAACAACATGACTATTTCAAATACAAAGAAGAGACTTACACCCACACTCTTTGTTGTAAGTCTTACTCTTTCCTTGAGTTCCTTTCATTCTCTTAATCCCTGTCCTCAAATCAGTCTAAGTTAAATAACATACTATAAGGCCTGGTGAGCTGGCTCAGCAGGTAAAGGCAGTTTCCCTAAAACTATGGCCACTGGGGGATATAACCCCGGAAACCTTGTAAAGGCACAAGGAAGAAACAGACTCCACAGAGTCGTCCTCTGACTCCCGCCTTTGTGCACACAAACATAGCCACATCCACACTCACACACACCCCTACACACACCCCTACACTCACACACACCCCTACGCTACGCACACACACACCCCTACACACAATATTTCTAAAGGTTAAGCACTGGGTTTTTTTTTTTTTTTTTAAAGATCTATTTATCTCTTACACAGTGTTCTGCCTGCATCTCATTACTGATGGCTGTGAGCCACCATGTGGTAGCTGGGAATTGAACCCAGGACTTTTGGAAGAACAGGCAGTGCTCTTAACCACTGAGCCATCACTCCAGACCGCCCCCTCCCCCTACACATAAATTTTTAATGTCTTTTCCCAGGTGTGGTTGCATCTGCCTTTAATCTCAGCACTCTGGAAGCAGAGGCCCCAGAAACAAGGAAAAGAAAGGGCTACCTGCTCAACAGGTACAGCCAGGCACTTGCTGCCAAGTCTGATTGAGTTTGAGCCTTGCGACCCACATAGTGGAAGGAGAGAAACTAAAAGTTTGACTCTCCACAGCCAGAGTCCTAACTGCTCCAAGCTGCCACCTCCTGCCATGAGGGTTCTCAGCCTCCTTCCAGCAGACTCGAGTGGTGGGACACCCTGGTGAGGGTGAGAGCAGCCAGAGAGAGAAGCAGGTATTGTGCCCCTCTCTGGCCTCTGTCTTGTCTGTGGTCCCAGTGCCCAGCCACCTCCTTACCTAGGACAGCAAAACAACCAGAAGCAGGGTGAGCCTGGCACCGCCTCCTTTGCAGCTGTCTCCTTTACACTCCGGTTCCTGTTCATCTCTGTGCGTAGACACAGCAGCTACGCATGGGGCATCCCTAAATCTAAACCCCTCATGGCTGGAGAAACGAAGATGGAAGTCACTGACCAGCCATTGCTTTTAATGCACTGTGGCCCAGGGTTTCAGAATAACGCTCACTTCTTGAGAATCCCATTATTCCTCAAGCAACAAAGACTTCTGGGCAAGACCCTACACAATCAGAACAGAGACAGCGACCAAGCAGGCCACACTGTGACCAGGACTTTTTAATTACGTAGACCCTTCCTCTTTCTCTCTCTAAGCCTGAAGCTCATGTTAGTTCCTTAAAGATGGGCTGACAGGCTTCAATGCTCTCCTTGCCCAAGGACTGTATTGGTTAAGTTCCTCTCCTGTGTTTTTATCTGCTTTCTAAGGGATGAGCAGCAGAAACCGCACGTTGGAACCCCTAGAATCAGTTTCAGGACTCAGGTTACACAGACAATACCCAGTGTCACTTTTATGACACCTTCCTCCCAATGCCTTTGTAATTACTGCCTCACTGAGTCCCCTGATGGTCTGTCATCCTGGCCCCTGTCCGGTGAATGTGAGTGCTGAGCCACAGAGCGGTCAGGAGCAGATTTGTTGTGGTATTTCACCGGCGGACCCCACCCACAGATTTGACCCCCTCTGCAGCCTGTCTCATACAGCATAGTGGCTTCCAGCTCACAGTCGGGCTGGGAGTTACATGCACGGAGCTTCAAGAATTCCGGAGTCAAAGGAAAGTCACAAGAAGAACCTTCAAGCCCACAACCAGAAGTTGGCTTCTACTTACATTACGATGGGAACAAAAAATCAAGATTCACAGTGTCCCTGACCAAACGTGGCATAGATTCCCAGTTCTGAGTGGCCAACCTTAGAAGTCCACAAATACCAACCACCACGGCCCCGTGTGCACCAAGCCCCTCTTCTGGAGATCTGGGCAACTGCACGCCCCTGGCTTCTCATATACATAGTCAGATGACAAGGAAGAATGAGGTCTCCATTCTCCTCTTCCCATTCAGTACTGAAGAACCCAGCTGCTGCCTATGCCCTTCCTGGAGCTCAGTGTGAGACACTGCTCCAGGCAGCGGCCAAAGCCCGGGTCTATTCTGCTCCCGGCGGCATCCAAGGCACCTGGGCAGTAAGCACCTCAGCCCCGCCTTTACTCTGGACAGATCCTCGAGGCAAGAGGCAGCCTCAGGGACACCCTGCCTGATGGTTTCATCCTCATAGGCTTCAGCCCATAGAGCCCCAAACCCTCTGAGCGCCAGGGTTCCCTCTAGTCCTCACCTGCATACTTGGCTCTTGTCTGAACTCTGCAACTGCCACCAGTGAAGTCATCGGGCTCAGATGTCCCTGAGGCCCAGATAAGGCAGGCCAAGTACCGCCCACGGGACTGGCCTTACCACGGAAGAAAACAAGTTCGTTCGGGAAAGCAGTGTGACTTTCAGGAAGTACCAATCAACACAACAATCAGGTCCTGCATTAATTAGCCACTGCAGCAGGAAAGCGGGAGGAGGGTCCAGGTTCTTTCTAGAAGGGTCCCGACTGGGCCAAAGTTTGATTCAAGGCTGGGGGGGGGGGGGGGGCTGCTCCTTTAGGAAAACTGGGTGCATTTGTTTCCTTGCATGGAACAGTATGGGCATGACCACTCTGGGCAGGCACACAGGAAAACGCAGCAACTTTAGGACTGAGCTAAGGAAGACAGGAGCCTAGTGCCCCACACTGGACACAATCCATGGATTCCATACTCACGGCGTACCAGGTACCCCTAGTGCCTACCTATGCTGTAGAGAGGGTCAAATAGCCGCGATCTTATTATCCCTCCTGGCAGGGCTTTGGGTGACAGATTAGAGGTAGGGGGTCTTTGGTCTGGTGGGGCTAGAATGCCCTGTGGTGAGGGAGAGTCTGGAAGGGCAGCTGAAGTTTTACACCGCCTCACCCCATTAAAATGCCTTTCTGCGAAAGTGAAACTAGTCCATGTGTTTTGAAACCACACGGCCAGGACAAGACATTCCAAGTCTTCCTCGGTGACTTAGTGTCAACGTCCACAGACGATGTGTGCCTGGCCTTCTGGAGATCATGCGTGCAGAAAACCATCTTGGTCAGACACGTCTCCTCAGGGGTGCATCTGTGTCTCACAGGTAGACACAGCTGCTTGTGTTCCGCCTAGCTCCACTAGGAGACGCCCTCTGCATGTCCCCTGGTCACAGCCTCCTCTGCCAAGGGCTCTGTCATCTGCTGACTCGCATCCACGGGGTTTCCAGAGACTTAAGTTCCGAGGCCATGCTCCATTTCTTCAGCAGGATCTGCTAAGAACTCAGGAGGTTCTATTTTAAATTAAGTGTGCGCACGCCTCACACACACGTGTGTATGTGTGTATGTGCGCACGCGCGTGTGACAGAGGACAACTTCAAGTATCCTACCTTAGGCACCCTCTGCATTTTTGAAATGGGGTCTCTCCCTGGCCTGGGTTTCACCGTTAGACTGGCTGGCCAGTGGCTCCAGGGATCCTCCTGTCTGTACCTCCTCAGCGCTGGGATCGCAGCTGTGCACGTCATAATCAGCTTTTAATTTTTTTACACGGGTTCTGGGGATCACTGGGTCCTCATGTTTGTAAAGCAATCCCTTTAGCAACCGAGACATCTCTCCAGTCCTTGCCTTTGTCTTTCATGTTTCTTGGGGTTGCATGCGTGACCCCATGGTCACACTTAGGATCATCTGTAGATATGGCTCATGTCTCTGTGTGTTCTCTTCTTGGGACGCTGAGTTCTACAGGTGTCTCTGTATGCAGGTGGTCAATGGCGTGGGTTACTCACTAACCTATTTGGACTGGCTTGAGCCATCAGTGATGGGGTAGGGGAAGCAGAGTGAGGGGAGCATTAGCGGAGTTTTGGGGGCTGGAGCAGGAGGAAAGATGGGGCCACAGGGTGGAGGGAGGGATCTGAATGCAGCTGAGGTCCCTGCTATCCGGAGTTTGGTCTTTGAGGTCTGACTTATGTTCTCTGGGGTCTGACTATGTCCTTACATCTGTACCAGCATCTGAACTAAAGGACTGGCCTGGCTGAAGAAGACCTGGTTCTGGCCCTGAAGAAGCGACCCCAGGCTGTGACTGCCCCAGGAGCAGAGCAGAGGCAATTGGTCAGGACCAGTGGGTAGCCAGGAGACACCATGAGAGTGGCCCTTCTCCTAGGAAGAGAGTGACAGGCTTGTGTTCAGACCCAAGGTCAAAGACCCTGCTGGCTCTGACCTCCCAGAACAGCAGAAGCATGTACTATCCCCAAATCTCATGTAATGCTAATGACAGAGTCAGTGCGTGTCACTGTGCACGGAGATCTTATGTGCACATGCATAGACAAAGCATGTGCATCGTTATACAGAGATGCCTGGCCCAGAGCACATTCCTGCCTGAGTTGCAGACTTACTCCCTGTGCTGGCGGTGAGTTTGTGGTCCCGTGACATGGACAGCTGGACAGTGTAGGTACAGATGAGTTTCTTGGGACTAGCTTCCTACTCTACGAGGACAAACCTGTTTGGACCAGGCAGCATCTGTCGAGGTGGCCTTCAAAGGGACCCTATAGGAATTCTGTGTCCTGAAGGACTTTTCTCTTGGCTTTGAAGACAGAGAGAACCAGAGCAGAAAAGCACTGTGGGACTGGCTCCCACTCAGTGCCCAGAAGAGAAAACCAGGGGAGACAGAAGCCACAGCCAAGTGAGCACAATTGAAGCTCCTGACTAGGTTTTCTTCTGGGGTTCCTGTCGCTGCGGGGGAAGAGGAACTTCATGGACTTTGAAGTTTCCCTCCTCGGCAGAGGCTCAGAACTGACTTTTAATGAATCTTGCTGCACCAACATACTTCACTGGGTAGAAAACACATGACAGCTCTTGCTTCAGAAGCCAAGACACACAGGGCCTCACGCTGTCGCCCAGTGTAAGAGGGCAACAGGGGAGCTTGATTGCATTTAGGATCACCATGGAATCACACCTCTCTGGATGCGTCTGGCAGTGTTTCCAGAAAAGTTTAACTGAGGAAGATGTGGGTGGCTCCACCCCATGGGCTGGGATTGGAATTCCAGATTGGCCAGAAAAGAGAGAGCAAGCCGGGTACCAGCATTCGGTTTTTCTGCTTCCTGTCTGTGAACACAATATTTTGAGCTGCTTCATACATCGGCCACCAGGCCTTCCCTGCTGTGATGCTCACACCTCTGCCAGCAGGCCTTCCCCACTGTGACATTCACACCTCTGCCACCAGGCCTTCCCCACTGTGACATTCACACCTCTGCCACCAGGCCTTCCCTGCGATGATGTTCACACTTCTGCCACTAGGCCTTCCCCGCTGTGATGTTCACACTCCTGCCACAAGGCCTTCCCCGCTACCACAGACCGTATCCTCAAACTGAGCCCACATCAACCTTTCTTTCCCAAGCTGATCCAGTCTCAAAAAGAAACGAAGCCGGGTGGTGGTGGCTCACACCTTTAATCCCAGCACCAGGGAGGTGGAGACGGGAAGGGATATGGCTGGGCAGAGAGAGGGGAATATAGGTGGGAGGAGACAGGAGCTCAGATGCTGTCTGTGGGTTTATTCTGAGAATGCAGTCTAAGGCTTCATAGAGACGGATGCAGTCCGAGGTTTTGATCACCCCTTTGGTCTGGGCATTGGTAGAGGTAAGAACTCCCTAGTGGCTGACTGCTCTGCTTCTCTGATCTTTCAGCTTTAACCCAGGATCTGATTCCAGGTTTTTATTATTAATACTAATTAGAATTTGTGCCACAGCTGTCTTCTTGTTCATGTGAATGAGAGATGCCCAGATGTTCTCCAGCTTCCAAGGCCCTTCCTCAGTGAGTCACTCTCCCCTCCTCTACATAGAACCAAGGGTTCCACCCTTGGGAAAGTTCTGTGCCCAGCAAACATAAACAATCTTCTGCTCTGCCAAGCATGTGATAATGGCTCCGTGGTGTTTGGGTTCCAGAGAGTCGTAGCAGCTGCCAAGGGCTAAGAACATGACATGCCCATCCTGGTGGCCTCTCTCTGGAATCAGCTCCACAGGCAGCTCCTTCAGCTTCCGCTGGCCCACAGACTTAGAACCTCCTTATATAGACAGGGAGAGATGAGAGGAGAGAGGGAGGGTGAGCCCCTGAGCTCAGACCTGTGTACAGAGAGGCACAGGCATGCACAGGTAGTCCATCGTCTCGGACACGGTGATACCACCTAAGCTGGGAACACCCACCTTGTTCTCACACTTCTCCTCCCAGCAGAACCTGGGTCTAAGCCCACGGTGAACTTACTTCCAGGATGCCAAAAGTCTGAAACACCCTGGATCAGAAACCACAGGTTCCCAAGAGTCCCGAGAGGATCCTGAGGACTATAGACTGCATGCTGCTCCCCAAGCTGTCCGAGGGTCAGAATAGATCCCCAAGAACAAATAATCCTTGCAAACCCAATTCAGGACTTATGTTCTTTGCTATTAGAAGACTGAAAAAGTCCTTGCAGTGGGACCTGGGGTCTTGGCCCTGTGTGACCTCCATGATCCCTCTGAACCCCTGTTGAAGCAGAACTCAGGGGACACCCCAAGGAGGTACGAAGGACCCAGAAAGACCCCACCCGTACCTCAGGTCAATCACTGAAGTACATCCACAGGGACTTCTTGAACGGTAGCGCCTGTAACAGATTAGTGCGCCGATTCCTGCGAGTCCCAAGATCAGGATGACAGCGACCAGGACTCCCGCGAGGGTCTCAGGCCCGTCCTCTAGTGGAGCTCTCTTGGGCTGGATCAGTGCGTCTGAAGTGGGCAGGAGTAGTCAGGGGTGATGCTTGCCACACTGGTCCTTTACTATATCCTCCCTGGTTCACAGTCCTACAACGTCCATTGTTCACCACCCGCTGACCCCACACCCTCCTGGGCAGTGACGCCTGGTGAGCAAGTTCAGGAGGGGCTAAGGGTGAAAGGTCCTAGGTGGCCAGCACTTGGCTCCATGGCATCAGAAGCAGCTGGGATGCTAAGAAGCCTGGGGACAGGGTTAGGACACCTACCTGAAGGGGGTGTGGATAGCCTCTTGTCTGTGGGCTCATCCTTGTTTGAAGGCTCTGCCAGAGACATACCATCAGGTTGGATGTTATGTGTTTGCACCCCCAATTCCAGCTGCAGTCCTGCAGGACTGGCTGGTCCCAGGAGGGACCAAGCATCAGGCTCACCTTCAGGGGCTCAGGGATTATGACAGATCGAATTGGTGTGGGCAGGGTAAGAGGGACATGGAGACTTCACAGAGAGGATGGAGTGGGCAGTGGGTTCCAGGTTGGGAGGAACTCATTTCTAGGTGCAGTAAGGATGGGCATCACGGGGTATACCAGTCTCTAGAGAGATACAGGGGTGACCAGAGGGATGTAGGTAGGACAGGGGTCCTCTGCAGTTACTTCCACCTTGTGAATGAATCATGATAGTTGCTAGGGTAGTATTCTAGCTAGCCTGACTGCCAACTTGACACAGCCTAGAGCCTCCTGAGAAGGAAGTCTCAGCTGAGGAACTGCCCGGATCGATTGACCTGTGAGCATGTCTGTGGGGGATTATCTTGATTGTTAATTGATGTAGGAGGGTCCAGTCTACTTTGGGCAGCATCATTCCCTGGGTGAGTGGTCCTGATGTATCTAAGAAAGCTAGCTAAGGCGGCACACACCTTTAATTCCAGCACTTAGGAGGCAGAGGCAGGTGAATTCCTGCGATTTCCAGACCAGCCTGGACTACACAGTGAGACCCTGTTCAGAGAGAGGAGAGTGGGAGAGAGAGAGAGAGACAGAGACAGAGACAGAGACAGAGATAGGGAGAGACAGACAGAATGGAGGGAAGAAAGAAGGAAAGGAGAAGGAAGAGGGGTTAGACAGAAGTCCGTGAATAGCATCTTTCATGGTTTCTCTCTCTCTCTCTCTCTCTCTCTCTCTCTCTCTCTCTCTTCTTCTTCTTCTTCTTCTTCTTCTCTCTAAGTTTAAACACTTACATTTTTATTATTGATACAATTGGGCATTGTTCGTCAACAATAAAACCACATGCTTCTCTTTTTTAAAAAAACAAAAACGTTGCCCAGGTTGCTTAGTAACACTAGGTCCATATTGCTACAGAGCATCAGTAGGATGGAATTGAGTAACATTGTTCTTTCGGACCAGTCTCTGCCGAGTTGTTCAGTCTCTAGAACACTCATTGTTATCTTATCACCAGCTTGGATAATTCCCTTGTATTAGTTTTCCCACATCTACTAAAGGAATCGAGACAAAGGCTTTGTCTGTTGCCATTCGGGGGTTATTTGTGGTGGAACTCTTCCAAGTGGTGGCTCCTGGCTGCAGTCCTTCCTTTGACGGTCACACAGTGAACTGAAAAGCTAGAGAGTATTTCTAAGAGGGTGACCCTCAAGGTTAGGCTGATTGGCATTTTTATGATGCAATTTCCTCCATGGTTTCTGTCTCAAGTTCTTGCTTGAGTTCCTACCCTGACTTCCCTCAATAACAGACATTGCTCATAAGCTGAAATTAACCCTTTCCTCTCCCAAGTTGCTTTTGGTCATGGATTTTTGTCATCGCAACAGAATTAAGCTTGAACAGGAAGTGTGTGTGGGTCTTTGCTCTTTGGTTCTTGTTTGGAGACAAGGTCTGACCCTGAACTCTCCTGCCTCACAGCCTCCTGAGTGCTGGGATCATATCATACTTGCCTGAACTTTCTTTTTCTAAGGCACACAAAGTCCAGGGCAAGCCTTCGTGGTGGAAAACGCTGTGGGGAGGGGGACAGGGTCACGGCAGTGTGGATACTCCTGGAACTGGGGCCTCATTCTGTGGTCACCAAGGCTTAGCACATTTTCAGTCAAGACTTAGATGGTCTTCTGCCCTGAACAATGGAGCTCCTTTCTACATCTCAGACAGATTAAGCTCTTTGCCTTCCTCTCTGCCCTCCTTCCTGTCCCTCAAATCACCACACCCTAAATACTGGAGCCTTTATCCCCTCTTACCCCCTTACTCCACAGTCCCCACCTCACCTGAAACATTCAGGGTGACGTCTTTGTAATCTCCCTGGCATCCGCGCAGGTACCACAAGTATAGCCCTGTGTGGACATCCTGGGTGTGGTTGATCACGAGCTGTGCCTGGCCCCCTTGAACTTGGAGCTCCCACTCTTTCCAGCGGAAGTATCCTTGGGGCGTCTTATTGAAGATGATGTTGTTGTCTAGCCAGATGGTGACATAAGTGAAGTTATTGGAGATGTTACAGCTCATCTTTGCGCGGCTGCCTCTAGGCACAGACAGTACGCCCTGGGTGCAGTTAGCAAGGTCCCAGCCTGTGTGGAGAAGATGATCACACATGGGCAAAGGCAGAGCTGCGGGACAGTTGCTGGCTGCTCTTGTAGGACGTGGGCAGCGAACCAGGTGCGGAGGCCTCCAAGAGACGGGATGGGAAATCTCACACTGATTGAGTCAGAGATTGGCACACGCAGTGGGGGAATGAATGCACGGGCAGTGATTCCACGACCTCCCTGGGGATGTCAGATCTGGAGAGCTGTGTTGGGGGAACTCCATGGGCCCCATTTTCTATACTCACTCCGATTGATTAAGGGTCCAGAGGGTGCCTAGGCTGTGGGACAAAGCTGGATGTATCCAGAGGAGGTTAAGCAGGTCCTCAGTTATGTCCTGCCCCCGTTGCCTGGCCAGGACACCCTCTTTTCCTTGCAGCCTAGGTGTAGTTTTGGGCGCCCCCTCAGTGTTCTAACATCAACTCCAAGTGTTGCTGGCCCTTTCTCTGTTGTTAGCCATCCTCACAGCTCACGCTTGTGTAACCCAGGGGCATCAACCCTCCTGTGGGTCTTTGATGCTGAGTCTCCTGGGCGGCAGACATCACTTGGCTCTGACCTTGGTCTGTCCTTCCCATCCTGTCTGCACCCTTGCACCCCTCCCTCTAGCAGAAGACCCAGACCTACTTTGATTCTGAGCGTTCAGTGAGGCAACCAGGAGCAGAAGACTGAACATACTGGGAGTGTGGACAGCGGACAATGACGGCCAGGTCTTCATGGGCAGGTGGTGGAATGGGAGGTCTCAGGAGACCCTTGTCATTTCCAGCTGTCTGGGAACAACACCTAGGAGGAAGAAAGCACAGCATGATGGGGGGGGGCTGTCCTAGCCTGGCCAGGGGTGCACAGCTCGGGGTCCCTGCCTGAATACCCGCGCTCCTGCAGGATTCTGAGCCACCACCATTCAGTGAGGTGTCATAGGCTGCGGAAAACACATGAAGCTACGAGCAAGGAGCACCAGGTTGAATGATGGGCACTTCTGTAGAGATTCCCACGGAGCTAGCAACTGCCTGGATCTCACTGCCTGTGGGAATGGAGTCAGGGCAGCGAGAACATTTTAAGTCTCTCGTTTGTTTGTTTATTTAGACAGTATCTTGTTATGCAGCTCAGGGTGACCTTAAGTTTGTATTTCCTCACCTCAACCTCATAAATGCTGGGATTATAGGCAGGTGCCACCAAACCTGAGTGATTTTATAGAGAGAAAGATTGACAGCAAAACATGAAGGATTTCCATACATCCCTGTTTGACCCGGATCTGCATTGTCCGTGTTGCTGACTTCTCTTCTGCTCTTCTTTTCTCTTTTCTTGAGATAGCGTATCACTATGACACTATGGCTGGTCTGGAACTTGCTTTGTAGCCTACTCTGGCCTCAGATCACAGTATGCCACCCCACGCAGCTCCTTTGTTGTTAATATCTTACACCCAGTCACAGGCTTACAGGACATACCTGTTAAATTATCTTGGGTCGAGAAATACTACAAGATCAATTACATTTTTCTTTATTATAAGGGACAAACTCATGAAACAGGAAAGAGAAGTCCAAACTCAGATGTGTAGCGCAGGAACCACAGAGAAAGTGAACCCTGAGCCTTCCCCAGGTGTTTTTCTCCAGGTTCCCAAAAGGGCACACCCCTAACTTGGTCCCACCTCCTAAAGTTCATTGGCTGACAGAGATTCCCCATCTCCTCCCCCTTTTGTCTAAATAAGAGACTTTTAAAAACAATACAAAGCTATATACAATAGGAAAAGATATCAAGTATAAAATTAGAACCAGCATAAATAATATTAAATCAAGGAAAACATGCTACATGTTTAATAAACATTCTATTCTAAAAAGTCTAAGCCTCACGTCGGAAATTGCCTGGCTAAATTGTAAAAGGAAGGTAACTAAGACTATTTCATCTTTAACTCCATCAAAAGCCTGAGAAGGGAGAAAATATTACTTGAGTAGATAGGAAGTACAATCAAGCAGCTTCCAAAGTGAGCAGTATATGACAGAGACAATCGGCTACCTGAGGAATCACCCAAAGTCTCATTTGTAATGTTGAAGCAACCAACTTTTGCTAAGGCCATTTTCAGAGGCAGGAAAGGTTTTAGAACTGTCTTATCCTGTCTTGGCAAGGTTTGGCAGTCCTTTCCCTTGTGGCCTGCTTGTCCAGTCTGGATACCATGTACCTTGTCAGTGGTCGAGGCATGGGCAGTTTCTTGCCCAAAGGCCAATTGTGCCAAGAAGAAAACAAACTCCAAGTGGAGTGTCTTTGGTGCTCAGCAATGTCTCAGGAATAGATTGGTTCTTGGAGTAGGAGGTCCTTGTGTCTATATGTTACTTTCATTGGTCAAATAAAGAAATTGCCTTGGCCTTTTGATAGGACAACAGCTTAAATAGGTGGAGTAGACAGAACAGAATGCTGGGAGAAAGAAAGCAGAGTCGGGCAGATGCCATGAAGCTCCAGCCTGAGATGGACGTAGGTTAGAATCTTCCCAGTAATCTACCACTTCGTGGTGCTACGCAGATTATTAGAAATGGGTTAATCAAGATGTGAGAATTAGCCAATAAGAGGCTGGAACTAATGGGCCAGGCAGTGTTTAAATGAATACAGTTTCCATGTAATTATTTTGGGGATTAGCCAGGTGGCCAGGAACTGGGCAAGACACAGCCCGCTCACCGCTCATCTTTGCAACAGAGTGGCACCCACGCTGGGTGGCAGGAAGCGGCCTGCCTCTCCTTCTACAGGTGCTGTCAGGAGCAATTGTGTCTCAAGTCAACAGAACCCTAAGTTATTTAAATGCCACGGTCCATAGATCCTTGAAGTGGTTGAAGATTACCTATCTAGGCAGAATACAATCTCTATGTATCCAAATAACCTAATTAATCTGACTATATGTATAATAAACATGAAAAACTATTGACCTATAATACTTAATACTTATATAACTTAAAGACTAAGACTTCATATCAGAATATTAAATAATCTATAAACAACTGTGTAGTAAATGAGGAAAATGACTTCAAAATGTAAACAATGTATAAGTATCTTGATCAGAGGTAGGACTATATAATACAATATGAAAATATATCCTAAAAATTGTATCTATATACAAAATGTCTTAGACAGAGGTAGAAACATGCATGCATACAATCTGACAAAATAACTTTGCATAGGTGTACAAACATTGTAAACAGAAAAAACAAATATAATTTGAACTTGTATTAATATACAAAAACTATACCAATGTAAATTGTCCATAAATAATATTTCACAAGTATTTATTCTATTACCCACTACTATTATTATTAGTGTGAGTAAGTTCACACTAAATAATCTATTATCTCATTCAATTTTCTCTCTCTTTATATATATATATATCAGTGCCTGGTGTCCACAGTCCACACAAACCCAAACCGAGGCACAGCATCCCATTCTGGGCTATGGGAGTGGACCCCTAGACTCTCAAATTCCTGCCCTACCCTGTGCTCAACACCAACTTCCACCTCCACTCCGACTCACACTGCTGCTGCTTCACCTGCAACCTGTTCCCAAGCTCCGGGGGAAGGCAACGGGGAATCTCCCTCCAACAGCCACGTTTCGGGCTGTTCCCGGGTGACAGCTTGAAGTTAGGTCTGTATTATGTGCTTCCAGGACTGCAGCTGGAGTGTCTTTGAGTTTATGGCAGCTGGTGTTTCTATCTTATTTTAAAAAGCTTTTCTGCACAAACATAATATTGCACGCCTGTTATCTTAGCCCGTGGGTGGTAGAGACTTAAAGATCAAGGCCAGTTCCCATTGCACAGCAAATTCAAGACCAGTCTGGGATTCCTGAAACCCTGCCTCAGAAAAACAAACCAACAATAACCTCTTTTTTTTTTTTTTTTTTTTTGTTTAGAGATAGGTCTTTTCATATAGCCCAGGCTGACTTTGAACTTGAGGTCCTCCTGCCTCAACCTCCTGAATGCGGGGGTGAGAGGTATGGGCCACCACTCCGGGACCTTTTCTTACTTCTAGCTTGTTGTAAGAAGGATAGTTTGTTTAAATTGCTACATTGCTCCCACGCTATGAGATAAGCTGGTCCTGGTGGCTCACACCCTGTTGTTCCAACGCTGGAAGGTGAGGCAGGAGGATTTCTACGTGTTGGAGGCCAGCCTGAGTGTGAGACTCTATCTCTCCACCCCTCCCGTCTAGAGAAAACTAAGGAAAAGCAGATGCTGGAAACTATCCGATAGACACAAGTCGAGAGAAGCCAGGAGCACGTCAAACCATCCTTTCATGCATGTCCTGTGTTTGTGTACGCACATCCACACAAATGAGAACATTTTCATGGGAAGCTTAGTCACAACACACTCCCTCTCCTCTCTGCTTCTCCCCGTGGTACTATCTGTCCCTCGAGACTCTTCTCCACGGGACAACTGTGATCTTATTTGGAGTTAAGTCACCACGGTGTAGCCAGTCAGGATGGGTTTGTACTGAATCCAGTGAGTTGTACCCAGCAGGGCTGACATTTGAGAAGGAATTTGGCACATAGGCACAGAGATGAAGGCCATCTGACATTGGCAGAGACGAGATGGCACAGCCACAAGGCCACAGCCACAAAACCCAGTCTCTTGGAGCCTCAGGACAGAAATAGACCCTCCCTGAGCCTGTGCAATGTGGCTTCTGTTTCTGACACCCAGGACTATGAGGACATAAATTCCTGCAGTTGTGAGTTGTGCAATTAGCCCTTGCTATGTCAGTTTCTCACGCGGTATCTGAATTCTGATTGGTCTGAGAGACACTTGTGTTTAGAGAAGCACATTGTCTTTCTTACACAAGGCCAATTCCTTTCTTGGTCACTCCTCGCTCTCATCTCTTTTCCTTGGAGACTGAAAAACTCTACACCCTGATGCTTTCCTTGCCTGTTTTTTCTTTCAAAGCTTTAAGTTTTAACTTTGAAATGTTTACCGGAGGCTGAAGAGATAGGTCAACCAGTGACATGCTAAACAAGAGGACCTGAGTTTGATACTTAGAACATAGATTAAAAAGTCAGGTATTAGGCCAGGCGGTGGTGGCGCACGCCTTTAATCCCAGCACTCGGGGAGACAGAGGCGGGTGGATCTCTGTGAGTTTGAGGCCAGCCTGGTCTACAAAGCCAGTTCCAGGACAGAGAAACTTTGTCTCAAAAACAAAACAAAAAACAACAGCAACAACAACAACAAAAAAGTCAGGTATGAGGGCTAGAGCAATGGCTCAGCAGTTAAGAATGCACGTTACTCTTCCAAAGGACCCAGGTTTGATTCCCAGTGCCTACATGCTGACCTAATATAGCTTGTAACTCTAGTCCCAAAAGATCTGATGGCCTCTTCTGGCTTACAAGGGCACCAGGCACCCAGGTGCAATATACATATATATTGCCAGGCAGAAATGTATGCAAAACACCCATGCACATAAAATTAAAATCTTTTAATTTAAAAAGAAAAAATCAGACATGGTGGCACACACTTATAACCTTGGCACTGGGGAAGTGGAAATAAGAAGATCCCTGGGGCTTGCTGGATAGCCAGTCTAGCCTACTCGATAAGCTCCAGGCCAATGAGAGAGCATGTCTCAAAAAGGGAAAGTGGAGGAAAACACCCTCCACAGTGTGTACATATGCACCCACCCACACGTGTGCGCGCGCGCACACACACACACAATCTTCCTGAAGTCATGTTGAAAACCGTGACTCCGAGAGTCCGCTGTGGGCAGCATGTCAGGGGACACTGGCTAAGCAGGGCTGACCATCCACTATACCAGGAACCCTAATGCTCAAGCCCTTGTGGCCCTAACTTGGGCATCTGCCTTCTTACTTTGCAGGTTTCAGCAAGCAGCTTTGACACCCAAATTAACAGCTGGCTAAACAATCTCCTTGGTTTTTATCTTCCTCTAGATCTCCCGGCAGACTTAACTCTGCTCCTTATTTCTGTAGAATCTGGAGTTAGCCACAACCTATTTTGCGTGCTACAAGTGTGCCTCTTTGTGCTTTTTTTTTTTCCCACCCCTGCCTATGATCAGGAGAGCACCATAACCAGTTTTCCAGCATTCTGGGTTGCTGGGAACTTGATGGGCGGAAACTAGAAAGGTGTGGTGACTCTCTTGAGGGGGCTTTCCACCTCTGACAAGATCTACCTAACACTTTCTCTGAGACAGCGTTGTGAAACACTTTCCCCCAAGTTCCTGCCAGAATGAAAACCCCTAAGAGACTTTGCTGAGTGTGCTGTGGGTTTGCTCCACAGATCCTGTTCTAATCCCTTGGGAGACATGAAAGCCCAGCAGGGTCAGTATCACAGACCCAGGCGAGAATTACCTCTAGGACACGAGGCCAGAAGCTGGCAGTCAGCTGGCCTTCTTCTGTACAGCTCAGTGAGAAGCGCGGTGGGCCCTGGCTCGTTTACCGCCTGAAGGGGGACAGCCAGTACTTCTTTCATGTTTAGTGGCTTGTGTGGGTCCACTCAGTGCGAAGTTCCATGAAGTTTATACTCCTGGCATGTGGCTAGGAAGGGTAGCTGGCACAGGAAGCCGGCACCCTTGCTGGGAGCAGATGGACCCCTCCTTGCAAGGACCCCAACCCTTTTAGAGACTCACTGGCCAGACACAGAACAGCTGCCCTGAGGGAACCAGCTCAGGCTTGGCTTCCTGGCTGGAACTCTTATACCCAAGAGAGATATTAACTAGAAGATGGGAGGTGGTCTGAGAACGTGATGTCCTCAAAGGAAATAATGAGAGGGAGAAGGAGCCACGGAGCACCCTGGTGTCTGGTCTGCATGTGTATGTGTGCATGTGTATGTGTGCATGTGTACGTGTTCATGTGTACGTGTGCATGTGTAAGCGTGCATGTGCAAGTGTGTATGTGTATGTGTGCATGTGTAAGTGTGCATGTGTAAGCATGCATGTGCATGTGTAAGTGTGCATGTATACGTGTGCATGTGTAAGCGTGCATGTGTAAGTGTGCACGTGCACACGTAAGTGTGCATGTGTAAGTGTGCATGTGTAAGTGTGCATGTGTATGTGTGCATGTGTAAGTGTCCACGCAGGTATGTGTGAGTGTTCAGGATGTGGGTATGAGCAAGGACAAAGGCTCAGGATCCCACATGAAGGTGTGCGCACAAACCTGCAGGTGACGACAGTCTGCAGGAATTGGTGCTACTGGGTGAGTTCATCTTTTTCTTATTCACAGGCCTGGAGCGCAATGTCCATCCTCCCATCCTCCAAATCCTCCACCATGCAAGTTTAGAGGGCAGAGAGAACTTCCTCCTCCTTGCCCCACCAGCTGCCTGCCGCTACTCCTCCAGAGCTGAGCCTGAGGCACTTCAAGACACTCAGCCCTGATCCTGCCTCCTGCTGTTTCCCGAATCCTGACACCCTGATGGTGGCTCAACTCTGCTTTCGTTCATCTCTTTTCTGAGGCAGCCATTCCCACCGCACAGAACCCTCAACCCTCAGAGCATCCAGTCGTCCTCAAATCCCTGTTCCCCTCACCTGCTCCTTCCGCAGCAAGTTCTCCAATGTTACCGCCGCAGCTGCCACAGGAGCTCTGGATTTGGCCGACTAATTGGGAAACTGAAAGCCTTGGGGGAGGGACTAGAGGAGGCAGTCTGTCTAGTTCCTTGCTCTGTAGGAAACAGCTCAATTTTCAGGAACTACTCTGATATAACAGAGCCATGAGATTCCCAGCGATGCCATCATTAGCATGTTTGAATTAGAAGCCCTGTATTCGCTGCATCCCGGGAGCACTGGAGGAAGGTCCGGGATTTTACTAGGAAAACCCTGGCTGGAGCTGGGGTTTGTGTCAGGGCTCAAGGGCTGCTCTTTGGGGAGCTTCCCTGAAGGGGTCAAGGCCAGAGGTACTTTAGGACAGCCCTGGGGTGTGTGGCAGGAACAAAATGCAGGGTTAAGATGGAGATAGCAGCAGCAGAATTCCAGGGCTGACGTCCTTGGTCAACCACACAGTAAAGCCCCGGGACATATGGAGTCTGCTCTGCTGATCCCCACCAGGGCCCTGCATCTTGTAGACAAACCCTAGCCGGTCTCCTGGGCCCCACCTGGAAAAGGTCCCAGATTCAAGGAGATTGCCGGTATTTGACACCTGCTCCTTGCAAAGAGGTTTTGCAGCCTGCTCTGTGGACTGCGTCTGAGAAGCCTCATAATGAGATGCGGAGACCGCTGTCCACTATTGGAGAGAAGGGCTGCTGTGGACCCAGCCTTGAGCCAGCTCCAAGCTTGGCTCCAGCCTCCTTGTGGCTTAGCAGTACTGCAAGGTCAGCCCAGTGTCTGGGCTCATGGACAGTGGAAGGAGGAGTCTGGGGCCATGGATGTAACCGGGGCACTCTGGGGAAGATATTCTCGAGGGACAGGAGATAGATGGGGTGACCCTGGAGAGGGTTTGTTTACATCCCAAGTGACTTGCGAGCTGCGAGGAGACCTGCACTTAGAAAATCTGTGTCCACATGAATACAGTGGACACTAGGTCAAAGACCTGAGGCCCCACAGTGATTCTGTAGGATGTCTGTGGCCTTGCGGAGACCCAGGGGGAGAACCCTGAGATATGATCTCTAGGGGTGAAGATCCCTAAAGAGGCTATGCAGCGAGCCAATCCCTTCCCCACACTGGTCCTTCACTTGGCACACTGCACAGGGACAAACAGATGTCTCTGGACGTTAAGAAGAGGCCTTGCAGTCTCCAGACATATGGTGATCAAGCCCCAAAGAAGGTGGTGAGCTGTGGCGCCTCCGCCCAGTGACTTGGAGGAGAAAAGGAAGCAGATTCAAACTCTGGGAGCCTGCAGCTGTGGGGATGGGCAGGAGGGACCGACTGACTGGTTTGGGGTCCAGCTGTTTCACAGGCATTCAGGAAATGAGAAGGGACACACTGGCCTGAAAGAGTGGCCAGCATCCCAGAGTACGGAGCTGACCACAGAGAACCTTGTCCTCTGTGCTCTTTCAAAGCAGTAAGTTACTTCACGTCAGCAGATAGAACCAAGAGCCTGTTCCAGCCTCAAGAAAGACAGTTCCATGCAAGTGTGGAACTCAGATGCTTACCAGGGGCTCTGAGGCAAAGGAGCAGCACCCTCACAGGTTCCCCAGACACCCCCAGTGCCAGCACAGGCTGGAGAAATCCAGACGCTAGGACATCATGGGCTCCATAGCCTTGCCCCTGTCCTTGAGACTATAGCCCAGGTTACCATTGCCTACTCCCTCCCTCCTCTGACTGCATCTCCCAGGCAGGGCCACCAAGGTCTTCAAACAGCAGAAGGGGCCTCTGGCTGATGAGGGGCTAAAGGGCATCTGAGGGTACTCAGTGTCTTTCCCACAGAGATGCCCTTCACAGTTAAGCAAACGTTTATTTCCTTTGTGGAAGTGCAACCAGTGGGTGTATTTCGAAAGTGAGAAGGAAAAGGGGCAGAAAACAGACCAGAATGATCCCAGCGGTATAGAGAACATCCCCGGTTCACTTTCCCTTTCATGGCTCCTTCTTCTTTTCCTTTCTTTTCCGTTTTTCTGATAACGGAGCTCTGGTTGGCCTGGATGTCACTGAGTATATCAGGCTGGCCTGAGCCTCACAAAGATCAGTCTACCTCTGCCCCCGAACACTGGCTGGGATTGAAGGTGGTTCTACCACAACCTGGAAAGCCAGATCCCAGGACTGCACCAGGGTGGCAGCAAGATCGCCTTCAGAGCAGCAGAGACTTGGGGAGATCTTCTTCTCCATCTGAGGACTAGACTCTTCCTGTCCGAGGGTAAGTAAGGAATCACACGTTTTCTGATGGAGACTTAGGAAAAACAGGAGCAAGCATACGTTTTCCTGATGGTAATCTTCTCTGTTTCTTTGTCTTGAATAATCTCTCTTTCTTGACAGTCTCTCTACACAGCTACATCTCTTCACATGCGGTTACATCTCTCTCTCTACATACATACGTCTCTCTTCTACACAGTCACACATCTCTACACATGGTTATATCTATTTTCACATAGTTATACATTCTCCACACATCTCCACACCTTCACACTTCTTTACACAGCCAAATCTCCCTCCATGCAGCTACATTCTCCACACAGCCATAAGCTTCTTCCGTCACATACATCTCTCCTATACACATGCCTCTCTTCTATATCTCTCTATCTGCTCAACTATATCCCTTCACCATTCTCTCTGCACATTCAGCTACCTCCCTTTCAACACAAGCACACACCACACATGCACACGTACACACACATGCACACACATGCACGTGCACACAGGCACACACATACACACATGCATATATGCACACACATGTGCACAATGCACATGCAAACACACACAAGACACACCCACGCACACATGACACACACGCGTACATGCACACACATGCATACATGCACACACATGTGCACACACATGCACACACACGCATACACGCACACACATAGGGGCACACACACATGCACACACACAATGCACACACACGCATACACCCCTCACATTTCTTTCCTACCTCATTCTCTACAGCAAAGCCTCTGGACAGATATGTATCACATTCTCGGGGTCGTACATCACTTCTTGAGTAAACAATAAGAAACAGCCATGCTGGCCACACGGATTCTCTCAGGCTGGGGACGTCATGCTGACTGGGCACGGTGAGTAAAGTAAGCGTACATCTCTGAGTGGCCAGGGTACCCAGACAGAAAATGACACTGAAATTCAGGACTTAAATAACAAACAGGTATTTGGCTGAACCTTGAGGCTGGGAGTACGTGAGGAAAGTCCATGGCTGAGAAAGTTGTGTCTACTAAAGTTGTTTCATGTTAGACCTTGAATCAACAATAAATACCTGGGAAATTTTCCTTGTCTGTTCATCTCTAGGGGCAACCAGGTTGCTTTGAATTTGTTCTGAAGTCTAGAATTAGCTGTCTTGGTGGCTGAGAATACTATTGCTTTCCTACGTCAGTCTGAGTAGTGAAAAATATCCTCATATTATTTCTATTCCTCAGAATAATACTGATTAAGCAGAAATCATCTTCCTGGCCACCCACAGCGACATGTGTGCCCAGTAGATGGAATATTTTCATGAGATGAACACACAAGTAGGGGGGGGATACCCATAGCTGTTGTTTTAGGGAGGAGTCATGGCAGCCATGAGAGAGAGTCAGTGACCCCCATGGTCTTTCCCGAGCGGGTGCTCCCCATCAGAGAATTAGTCATCTGATACACATCAGCTGTCATCTGCTCTATGACCTAATGGCCTTCAGCAGTGTTCACCACCATGCCCGGCTCCCACACCAGTGTCCATGTCCACTAGTGATGAAAGCTTGGTTTTCTGGAGATTTCGTGGGTAAAACCAAGCTCTCAGGCCTGACGTCTTAGTGGCTGACTTGGACTGGAGTGGGCCCTCTGTGATGGAAAGAAATGTGTTGCAGTCTTGGGGGGGGGGGTCCCACTAGCAACCTCCAATCAAATGCACTAGGATTCTTTGGCTATTTTGTTTTGAGACAGAGTCTTGTGTAGCCTGGGCTAGTCTGGGACTCACATAGGTGAGGATGACTTTGAACTTCTACTTCTCCTGCCTTCACCTTCCCAATGCTGGGGCTGTAGGTATGTAACACTATACCCAGAAATGCTGGGATTATTATTTACTTAATTGGAGATCAGGTCTTGCCATATAGCCTTGGCTAGCCTAGAGCTCACTATGTAGACCAGGCTGGCTTTGAACCCACAGAGATCTGCCTGCCTCTGCCTCCCGGATTCTAAGAATGCTGGGATTATTATGCCAGAATAGACTTTCAGGACTAGTCAATATGACACAAAGTTAGATTTTTTTTTTTCCCTGTGCAATAGCTTAATTGGTAAGCATTTCCCGTGTAAGAGAATCTCCAGCCCTCACGTTAAAAGCCGGTACAGCCGCACAGACTTGTAACGCCAGCTCTGGGGAAGGAGAGACAGGAGGATCTCCGGGGCTCGCTGGCTAGCCAGCCTAACCCATAAGTTTAAGGTGTAATAAGGTGCAAAAAATTAACAAGGTGGAGGGGATGGAGTGATGGCTTGGTGGGTAAGAACACTTGCTGCGGAAGCAGACCTGAGTTTTAATCCCCAGCACCCTGTAGGAAGCCAGATGTGGCTGTGTATGCCTGTAACCCCGGTGCTGTGAGGAGTGGAAACAAGGAGGCCAGTGGAACTTTCTGTCTAGCCAGGAAGCCTGGTTAAAAAGCCAGCAAGCTTCACGTTCTACAAGCACACTTGTATCTGTGTATCTGCACACACACACACACACACACACACACGAGAGAGAGAGAGAGAGAGAGAGAGAGAGAGAGAGAGAGAGAGAGAGACAGAGAGACAGAGAGACAGAGAGAGACAGAGAGGAGAGTTTTAATATAGATTTGACTGTGGGAGAGGGAACAGAAGGTTTTCTCTTTGTTATTTCTTTTGTTGTTGGGGGCACATTGCTATGGCGTGTGTGTAGAGGACAACTTGAAGAAACCTCTTCTCCAATCCATGAAGGTTCTGGAGGTAGAACTCAGTCCAACTGAGGCAGCTTGAGAGGGTCTTGAGAGCATCCTGGAGCAGCACCGACTTCTCAGCAGGATCCTAAGAACCACCACACGTAAGGGTTTAGTAGTTTCTGCTGTGGTCATGACGGTCAAAGGTTTTAAACA